TGTGTGTGTGTGTGTGTGTGTGTGTGTGTGTGTGTGTGTGTGTATATGTATGTGATTTTTTTTTATTTATTTGTTTGCCTTGACATGTGCTTGAGCATCCAACCAACCAACCTCTAATGTTTAATTCATGGATAAAAACCATGTCTGAAGAAGAAAACGAAGAAAAATGAATGACCGATCTGAAGTGAAGTGAGCCGAACACTGTTCGGCTATTCACTTCAGGCTGATACGGCTAATTTTCAAAGGCTTGCATCCCAAAAGTAATTAGGTTAGCCACATAAAATATCACCCACATTTTTACATTCCTATTACAAGTCTACTGACCTTGCTTTACTCTGACAGAACAGGTAGATTAATTATATATATTAAAGTGACCTAGAAACTGTTTAGTACCAGAATGTTCAGTAGCTTAAAAAGTAGCAAAACTACACTAAATAAAAGTTGCTTTTACATAAAGAACAGAGGACAATATGTTCTTTCAAGGGCATATCAAGACTGTATCCAAATCAAAATAATTTACCTCTTTGGATGACAAATGTGTACTTATGTAAATATATCTCTATTAAAAATGCATGTCTGGTTTTCTTTGTGTCACTATAGGCTTATAGAGCTTTGTTCACAGTGCAGTTCCCAACACTTAGCTCTTAAGAGTCTGCTTCACAAAATGACAGATTGCATCTCCCCATGCTGTCTGGCTGACTCTTACTCAGTTGCTACTTGACGTTTTATTGTGATAACACTGGAATTTTATACAAAGTGTAGGAATAAAATGCATTTTTACTGCAGGCTTCTTTGAAGCTTGACTAAAGTCTGTAAAACCAAGTTAAGAATCTTGTGAAAATACAAAGAGCAAACACAAAGGTGATCAAAGTACGGATAACTGTGTCCACAAGAGCCTGCATATACATAACAACCGGAGGAAGTATTGCAGCAGAGACTGAGCTAATACACTCTATACAAACACATAAAAAACGGCACTCAACTTCTCTATAGTCATATTTAGCTGTGAGATTTGAACACTATAAATGGAATCCTATCGTCACATCTATGGTGTGCATAAATTAATAATGAAAATAACTGGTTTGAATGCATGGTATTGTTCCTTTTTGTTTGATAAAGGTATAAGATAAAAAGAGCACAGTTGCATACATTGTACAGTTATTTCTAAAGACATGCCGCTGTTGAGCCCCTGTAGCTATTACCATCTCACATAGGACTGTAATGGAGAAGCACAGAATGCTGCATTCCACATTATGTTTACTCAACTGGAATATGAGGTCATTCAAATTTAAACTTCAGCATTTCCATTTATTTAAACTGTCTAGAGAACATTAAACTGTTCTGTAATCTGTAACTGCATTTAACATATAGAAAGATTTTTGGTGCAGTTGTTCAGTTCTAAAAAAAAGAAACCAAGGACAGCAGACCTTAAGTTTCTATGACTTTTCCAGAAAATCAGAGCTAACTGTCCACTACAGTAATAACTTTCTGTTCATATTATTATGCTCAGCGCAGCAAAGCCTGGATCTTCAGTGACAACAAGAACATGTGGCTATAATTCTCGCATTTCCAAGAGAGTGTGCCAAAAATGTCAGTTATCTTATTTATATAAAAACATACTAGTTTCACCTTTTAATTATTGGTTCTAGACATTTCAACACAAAGAAACGTAATCTATAATCATTCCAGTGCTCTAAATAAATATATAAATACATTTAAATTAAATGCTATGAAAGTTCCACAGCTCGGGCTACTTACCATGAAAAGCATACAGTGAAAAGATTGGCAGGCAGAAGCTTGTGTGATTCAAAGCAATCCAAACTGTGTCACGGCAGCAGTGGAGATATGAGAGAAATGTGTTTGGGTTTGGCTACTCCTTGTGAATAGAGCCTTTGGCAGACAGGTGTGTTAACCTGTTGAAACATGGAAATGACTTGTCATATGACACCGCCTTTGAATGTAGAAACAGTGCAGAACCTGTTTAAGCTGAAGGCCCAACCCTTCTGAAGAAAGCATAATAAAAGGCCAGACAGTGCTTGAGATTTTACACAGCAAGCTAATGTGGGAGGAAGCTACTGATAATGATGACAGCTCCAGTCTGTACTTTTATCAGCAAAGTATATAAATACCATGTTAGTGAGAGTGAAAGAAATTGTACTTTTTGTCTTACAACTTATATGTGCTAGAATATCTATTTATGTCAAAACACAGAAAACCAACATTTCATATTCCAATTGCAGAAGTTGCAACTAAAATGGCATATTTAATGTATTCATTGTTTTTTTTAATTGGGATTTTGTTTGGGTCAAACTGAATTAATTTGCAGATCATGGACCCAATGAACTAACAAGCAATTTTACCACCATAGAAACCAACTAACCATAATGCACTTCCTGGACTTTGAACTTAGCTTAGCTGGCTTAAAGGGCCAATAATGGGGGCTAGTTAGTTAGTTTCTGCTATATAGTGCTATATTGTGCTACATATTCTTGTGTACAGACCCTTGTGGTAACAGTTCTGAGACCCAACAGTACTCCTCACAACTACCTTTGTGTGCCAGAAACAACTCAAGTGCTGTTTCTTTTTTTTTTCATTTTCCATCATTTCATGTTTATATATCTTTTCTTTTTAAACTCTTTAGTTTTAATCCCCACCCCCAAACACACAAAAATAGGCAAAAATAGGGTTGGGGTTAAGTGTTTCAGGGTTTATTTTTTCGGGAGGTATATTTCTTTTTGTTTCTTTGTTTTTTTTGAGGTCCAAAGCATACACTTTTTGCTTGCACAGACAAAAATGTCCTTTTTGTGCTGTAGAGTATTGTGCATCAAAGCACCTCTGTGCTTTAATTCCCCTGTTGCAAAAGCTCCAATTAAAGTTAGGCAATCATCTTTATTCAAAATGTCAGTCCGACCTAGCGGGAGAGGCAGGGTTACTGCACAGGGAGTTAGTAGGGGGGTGAACAGGTCCAGCTGGCCAAAGCAGTGGTCGGGCTGCACCATCTAGAGGCAGGGCTTTTCTGCTTTTTCTATCTGAAAGTGGCTGTGTCATACAGCCAAAGCACGCAGGGGAGGTAGTTGAGTGGCTGACCCTTTGTTGTTGAGTCTTTGTTCTTCTTCCTCTTACCAGGTGCAGAGCAGCCAGTTTGCCAGTAATATGAGGAGTGAGGAGTCAGTGGAATTATTTTATCACAAAATTGGTCATTTGATGCAGGAGTATGACATTGGACAAGAAGTCCTCATTTCAGATGTTAAGGATGAGGAAAATAATGCCAGGATATTAGAGGCAGGGAACATCAAGCATGGAGAGGCAGAATAGCAGTAAGGGAGGATTTTGCCCAAGTGCAGTAAAACACCTGCACTCCTCCATTTCCAAGTTCCTCATTTTATACCACTCTGTCCCCTCCACAACATTCTCCTGCTGCATCCTCCACAATGTCTTCAGCCTCTAGTGATAGGAAAAGCTAATCTCACAAGGGGCTTAGGTTATGCCACATCAATCAGCAAAAAGGATCACAGGGGCCATGCAGCGTAGGGCTAAGCTTAGGTTTGTACCTTGTCAGAAGTCTCCTAACTCCACCCTACCATCTCCAGTGCTATCCTTCATAACAAAGGTGTCTTTTCCACAGCTGATGAAATAAAAACAATTCAAAATCCCCCCATGCCCTTCATCTTATTGCCTGCATGGCAAAACTGCTGACATGGCAGCTGCTCCCATTCAAGTTCATTGAGTCATCCCCTTTCCATGAGATTATGACCTGCAAAACACCACATTGGCAGATATCCAGCCACCATTATTTTGCCCAGAAAGCCATCCCTGACCTCCACCAGTATGTGGAATATAATGTGTTGATGTTGCTGGATCACGAGGTCAGCCACAGGGTACATAATACCATGTAAATGTGCTCCAGTAACCATTGTCAGGGACTCTATATATCCTTCACAGCACACTGGGTAATTTTGTTGATAGCTAGAAAGAATGCAAGATGGGGCACACTGCCGGAGTAGGTGGCACTGCCCTGTGTCTTGTATGTGTCAATGCAGTCCCCATTCACTAGGTACTTGTGACATTGCAGTCACCTGTACCCATACCCTACTCATCCTCTGACTCCTCTAAACCACCAGTCCCCAAAGCACTTCAGAGACTATCTAACATCCCAACCTAAACTCATCCATACTGTTTTGCAGCTGGCATGCCTGAAGGACAGGAGCCAGACTGGGCCAGAGCTTCTGGTTTCTCTTGTTGCCCAGATGTAGAGGAGGCTGACCCCATGTCATCTTCAGCCAGCAGGGTCGTGTGTGACAACTGCAAAAATCTGCTTGCCACCCTTGCCTGGAACATGTACTCAAGCCAGTGGTGCAGGGGGTCCTTGTTATTTGCTAACACAAGTTTCCTGATAACCACCTATGTCACCCCCATGTGCTGGAACTCAACACTGGCAATGCCTCAGAGGCAGCACCTGCAGCATCATTCCATCAACAAGTATCTGTGCTATTAGAGTATGTGGACAGGCTATGTGGAGCTGGGTTTCTGTTTACCGTGACAGTGACTCATTCAGTGCACAAGCAGCATCTTGGCACCTTTTGAAGAGGCAACCAGAATGGTAAGACATGATGAGCACTGGCGGTACTACCAGGGTCGCAGCAGTCACAATTGTGACCGGGCCCTGGCGTTCTGCCTGCTGGGGGGGGGCCCAGCGAGGAAGAAGAGGACCCCCCGAGATCGTGGCGCTCCTTCCCTACCGCTCTGCCACCCGCAGCATGTACGGGCGGCTGTGTGGCAGGGCTGGAGAGGCTGTCAGAGTCCCGTAGAATGTGCTGCAGGCACCGCCAGGCAGCACATTCTGCTGTGTGAGGACCATCTCTACTTAGCCCCGCCCCCTGGCCTCCGAGACACGGAGGAGGGCCCTGCAGGAGAGGGAAGGTAAGTCTGGAGTGGTAAGTCTGGAGAGTGAAGGGCATGCTGGTAGTATTTTGCATAGCTGACTTTTATTATAATGTATTGCTGGGACTTGTAGTCCTGCATAGCTGGCGGTAGTCTGCATTGCTGTATGATGATTATACAACAATGCAGAATAGCACCAACTATGTAGGACTACAAGTCCCTGCAATGCATTATATTTTTAAGTAGGGATACACCACTGCCAATATGGGAATTTGCACGAGTACTCATACGTGAAAAAGCCCGGATACTAAATGCAGATTACAGTGTTCTGTCAAGAACACCGACATAGTCGAATTTGCCGACCACAGCATCTGCTCTTGCACACAGACCAGTGTTATTGAGGAAACAGGGATTTATTCACAAACTATTTTGTTTAAATTGTTAATTGTGACAGTTAATAATATTTAATCTGTCATTTACTGCCATGGACAGCATATTATTAACGGTCACAATTAACCATTACAAACGAATACTTTGTAAATAAATGCCGGTTTCCTCGTTAATCCCATCTGTACGTAAGCGCAGATACTGGGTTAGCGTTCTCGACAGAACACCAGCACTAAGATTTTAAACATGCAGCTGCCTGAGGTCCTGCACTTGCTGGGGACCTCGGCAACCTTCCTGTTAACCATGTGGTGCCATGGCGGTGGGGGGTCCTTCATGGTTACTTGCACCGGAGTGTCCGACTCCAGTGCTTGCAGTCGAACACCATGCAGAGGAACACACAGCAGGGAGAATAATCCCTCTGCATGGTGTCCAACTGCAAGCACTGGAGGCACAGAAGTAGAAAGAAGAGGAGGGCCAGCAGGATCCTTTGCCTACTGTCTCCATCCCTGCCAGGAGGCAGAGAAGGAATACAATACAAGGAGGAGGGTTGGGTTGTGGACAGTGAAGAGGAGGAGGAAATGGGGCATTGAAAAAGAGGAGGAAGTGGGAAGCTTTACCCCTTCAAAACCCTGAGGGCTGTACAAGGATGGGGTGAGGCCATCGAGGACTCAGGGAACCTCTGCTGAAGGCAATTTGTGAAGAATGCAGTCTTTTATGCTCAACTGCCTGGATAGGGATCCCAGGCTTCGGGGCATGACAAAGAGGTACCACTGTTGGGCGGCCACTCTATTGGATTACAGAAACAAGTTAAAAATAATCAAAACAAGTTTGGATTCTCAAAAGCCGGGAGGAACATGGGGTTGACGGTAATACCCAATATCAAATGGGGTTGATGGTGATATAGGGGGAGGTGTGGAAATATGAGACCCCCTGTGTATTTAACTGCGTGCCATTGCTTCAGCGCATGTTGTAAGATAGGGTTGCCGAGAGGAGGATGGGAAGAGCGGGGAAGCCACAACAGATTGTGAATAGGAACCGGTGAACATTCCACAATATCCATCACAGCTTATTGAGGTAAATCAGAAGTGGAATGGAGTAAGGACAGAGATGCAATTTGAGCAGCCAAATAGTATTTTCCCAGGTGTTAAACCCCCAGTCCACCTAACCCTCTGTGGCAATATATCACGTGGGCAGCTAATCTAGGCATTTGGGACTGCCAAAGGAAATTAAGAATTTTCCTCTGTTCCTCTATCCACATGATGTGACTTGGTACAAGAACAGGCAGTACTCTAAAAAAGTAGAGTAGTTTGGGTAAATAGGACATTTTGATTGCATGTATTCTGCTGAACCAAGATAAGGGTAGAGATCTCCATGAGGTTAGGTGAGCCGAAAGTTCCTGAAAAAGTGAAGAGTAATTTTCCACAAAGAGGGAGATATATGATGAGGTGATGCAGGCCTCCAGGTAAGGCAATGCAGAAGGCCAGGAAAAGCTGTAATTAGAGCGTATCAAGTCAAGGTGAGATGATAGAAGGGAGATATTGAGGGCTTTAGATTTGCTTTCAAAAACTTGAAGACAGGAAAAGCATTAAAACTTTGAGGGGATCCGAAACAGGTTAGGAAGTGATATATGTGGAGACGAGACAGCTACAAGGA